TTGTGGTTACCTAAATATATGTTCCTTTTAGCTGTATGTGTTGGTTGTTTTAGCAGGATGAATAGATAGATTTGTAATCAAAATTTACATTTGTAAATAATACAATTGCTAAAAAAAAAAATCAGTTTTATTAGAAAGTTAAAAAAATAGCCCTGTTCCTACAACAGCAGCAATTGACACTTAATTGTACAAGTCCCCTAAATTTTCAGGTGAATATGGAGGAGCCACAGCAGATGTAACTTGTGACGCATACCATAAATACAAGGTCTGGAAGACGAAACAAGATCAGTTTTTGTCTGAGTTCACACGATTGATGATTAATTTGATTGCCGTAAACATTGTGTATTGCAGGAAGATGTAAAACTCATGGCTGACACGGGTTTGGAAGGCTATCGATTTTCCATTTCATGGTCGAGACTTATTCCCAGTAGGCTCCATGATTCAACTACTCCCTTACTACATATCACGCTGTTATAAGCTTTATCTTTCTTCTCATACTTGATTTTTGTCTTCTTTGTAGATGGAAGAGGCCCTGTTAATCCTAAGGGATTGCAGTATTACAACTATCTCATTGATGATCTTCTCAGTCATGGTTATATTTACATTTTCCTGAGCACTAATTCTTATGTTTTTCAGTTGAAAGTTTAAATGTCGCTCTTGTTAGTAAGAGCATACAAATGATCTATAACGTACCTAATTGACTCCATTGTGTTTTCATTTACATTAATTTGTAGGAATTGAACCACATATCACTCTATGTCATAGTGATCTGCCACAAGCACTTGAAGATGAATATGGAGGATGGATGAGCAGAAAGATAATGTGATCGATGCAGAGTAATTTTAGTTTAGTTCATATTTTGGCAACATATTCTCTATGTCTAATTGACTACAAAAAAATTGTTCATGTTTTCCTTGTAGTGATGACTTCACTGCTTACGCGGATGTGTGCTTCAAGGAATTTGGTGATAGGGTTTTGCAGTGGACTACCTTGAACGAGGCCAATGTATTCGCTTTAGGTGGTTATGATAATGGATTCAGCCCTCCAAATCATTGTTCCCCACCTTTTGGATTTAGACCTTGCTCGAAAGGTAACTCTTCAACCGAGCCATACATAGCAGCTCATAATTTACTACTCGCTCATTCAGCTGTAGTGAGACTTTACAGGAGGAAGTACAAGGTATCACCTTTAAACATCATATCAAGTGATATACGAGTGATTACTAGCGTTCTGAAGTCTTAATGTTTGCTAATAGTTTGTTATGTTCCAATGCAGACAACTCAACATGGTTTTGTAGGACTAAATCTCTTTGCATTTTGGTCCCTTCCTTATACAAATAAAACGACCGATATAATTGCAGCACAACGAGCTAATGATTTTTACCTCGGTTGGTAAGCGCTTATTAGCATCAAGACAATCTCAAACATCATTTGTACAATGATTCAGGAAGTAATGCAAGGCTGAGCTTATTTGCTTCATTAAAATTTCAATCCTCATTGCAGGTTTGCCAGTCCCTTGATATTTGGAGACTATCCTGACGTAATGAAGAGGAATGCTGGCTCTAGATTGCCCAAATTCACAAGACAAGAATCTGCACAAGTTAAAGGCGCTGTAGACTTCATAGCCCTGAACCATTATATGACAGTACATGTCACAGATAGCTCCAGCAGCTTGGAAACTGATATCAGAGACTTCAGTGCTGATGCGGCATTTCAATTTATATGTAAGAATAATGACTAACGCAAAAGATAATGATCCACTGTATTGACATTTGAAGACGATATTCAGCTTCAATTTGGTCGGGTGGACCAAATAAAGATAGATATTTGTGTGATTCAATGCTTTTATCTCTTTATTTATGCAGTGGCAGGTGGTGCAACTACACCACCAGGCATGGTGAGGATTGCGGCATGCATCAATTCTACGGTGCACTTTGCCTTTTTCATATTTATTTGTTTTTCCATCTTGACATTTTTCTTCTGAATCAGTATCCAGTGACGGAACCTGGTCTACAAGGAGTACTAGAATATTTCAAGCAAGCTTATGGCAATCCACCTATGTATATTCATGAAAATGGTTCCTCTCTCTCTCATTCACACACACACACATCAAATACCTATACCTTTGCTTATTTCTGGGCCCAAGTATAGGCTTTGGCGTCCCCGCCGAATACATAAATTTCTTTGAACCCCTAAAACCAAGAAGCTCTAAAAAGCGTGGTGTTATTTGTCTTGGCAGGTCAAATGACACCACGAACTGCGATATTAAATGACACAACTAGGGTAGACTATCTGCAAGTTTATATTGGGAATTTGCTTGATGCTGTGAGGTAAGCCCCCTATTCTCACATAACACAATTGTTATTGATGAGAGACTATAGGCCTATAACATATTTACATGAAACAGATGAATCGTCTTACTTAAACACGTAGATCAAGCACTAACTCATCTTGCACTCTAGTAGTAATTGATAGAAATATCTTTCCGTGCATCCTCTGCAAGTTCTTGTAAAACCACAAAATTTGGAGAAATTTATGTTAAGGTATTTCTTGTGAGATTCTTTAAACCGTATGACATCCCCGTTCTGTATCTCTTTGTTATTCTAGGAATGGATCAAACGTCAAAGGCTACTTCACATGGTCATTTTTAGACTGTTTTGAGTTACTGGACGCATATGGTTCGGCATTTGGCCTATATTATGTGGACTTAGATGACAAAAACTTGCAAAGATATCCAAAGCTTTCTGCACATTGGTACGCTAATTTCTTGAAAGGCTCCAAACATAGTGCAATTCTTGAGATTGAGGATAAAGTGCTGCATTCTTCCCAGTCTCATTCTTCTTCATAAGTATTCAGTTGTATTGTGTAATCAATCCAGTTATGGAGTTCACATTTGTCTGTTGTAATTTTTGCAAATAAAGATCCATAGTCTAGACGATTGATCGTGTACCCTTGTATAAGGACGAACTTAATTTAATACCTATTTATTTGCCATTTACATAATTATTTTATAACTAGTTTTCGAACACGTGTATCCCATATTAGTTAGTATAACAATTTTAAAAATTATATATATATATAAGTGGAAACCTCAAAAGTTAAAAGTTGAATTACCAAAGTGCCCTTCTAAATAACCTAAATATTTTACTTCCAAATAACTACTATTATTTAATAATAATATTTAAATGATATTAATTAATAGTTAAATTGGACTTATCTTTCTCGAAAGGTTGTGACCCTCCAATTTTGCAACTAACGTTTGAGTTCTAAAATTAGTTATTGGTCGCTTGTAATGAAAAGCCACATTCTTATATACAAGTTCATGCATGTCATGCCCTTCTAAATAACCTAAATATTTTACTTCCAAATAACTACTATTATTTAATAATAATAGTTAAATTGGATTTATCTTTCTCAAAAGTTTCTAACACTATTGATCCATACACCTTACAGACTATGATCGACTACTTCAAAAATTTTGATAAGTTAAATATTCTTGGCATTTGTGATGTTATTTAATTAAAATTTGATTGTTCATCTCCGTATATTTAGACGATGTCTAATCTTTTTGAACTGGACAAATAATTTACCAGACTAACGAATTGCATTGATTATTCGCAAAACCTTATATTTTATTATTTATGTGTATTGATTTATTCAAACATTTATTTTATAATATTACAAAAGTCATCTAATATATAATTTAGTGTACACGTGCAATGCACGTGCCGAGAGACTAGTCATCATATCATATCATACTATATTATAAGTGTGAAGACTTTTAGGTAAAGTTATTTTACTAAAATATCCTTCAAAAACTGAATGACCAAATTAGCCTTTAGCTAAATAAATCCATTAAATGATTATTTACCACAATCAATCATTTCTAGAATACTCTAACACATGTGAAGAGTTGTTCATCTTCTGCTAATTATTCTCAACTGTGTGGTATGCCAGCTTGGTTTCAACCAATATGGTCATTAATCATTTGGCCAACAAAAAATTAAGTCGGATGTTACATTATATTGGAAACCTATTAAATGTAAGTAATTACTACAATGAGCTGTTAATTGGAAAGAATATTTATCACAATCTTTGCCTCTTCACCTCCTAGCTTTAACAGTTTAACGTTAGCTGAAGAAAATTAGTTTCATTTGTGATCAATGATCACTTTTATAAATGAAAATGTATAACCCTCACCATTAAAGAAACAATAGATCCGAAAAGCTGCAGATTTACTAGGTATGTTCATTTTCTTTTGTTATTTCCTATGAGTATTCATGACACTATATTTTTGTTTATGCTAATTTTTATTTAGTATCACTTTGTAATGTTATTAATTATTTCGCCGGATAATAAATTGCAGAAGTATTAGCTTTCGTAATCAAGCAAATTGACTAGCTTGTAAGTTTTTGAGAAATGATTTCCTATAATCAAGCTAATCGAGTAGCTAATAAATTTTTGAGAAATTTGGTCTTTGTAAAATAATGAGCTTTATTAGAAGTTTCATGACATTTCTTTTCTTCTTTTATTTTATTTTTATTTTTTTTTATTTTTTTTGCTAAAAAAAATTCAAATTTTTGGGAAGAGCATATTCCAAGGATGGGGTGTGCAACTCACTATCACTATTTTTTTTATCATTATCTTTCTTATTGATCTTTTCCTCGCTCATTGACCCATTTTATTGATGGATTGATTCTATATAGATGTTTATGTTTTCCCAGTACTCCTCTCTTGGCATAATAAAGAAATGAGAAAATAAGAAAGAAAAAAGAAACAAAGATTTTGCTTTGTTAATGGTTAATAAGGAATGAGCTAATTTTTGGCATTTTGAAAAACATAGCACTCAGTAGATATTAAAAAGCTCCAAGAAGTATCTGACAAGAGATACAACGGAAAGCAAGTGGAGCAGCAACCTGCACATAATTATTAACTACAGGCAGCCCCTTCAGGGATGTAAAATAGTGTTGAAATGATAGAACTCAGCACAAGGATAGCACATAAAGTGAGAAACCGTCCAATTTATTAATTGCAGGCAGCCAGTAGCCAAACGCATGTTTCTGTCCCCATGTACAACTACTACTACTTTGTTTTGTTAATTCAGCTAAAGAACCAACACTTGGACTTAAGTATTGTTGTCAACTTCCAAATGAGAGAGAGAAGTACAATTAGATATTTCAGGAGGTATAATACATGATAACTGATTGACACTCAACTGCAACTCCTCAAGACCTAAAATGCCACCCAAACTAGTAGGAATGCTACCTGTTAAAAGATTCTCAGATAAATCAATAACTGTAAGAGCTTTGCAATTTCCAAGCTCATTAGGAATCACACCAACTCCTACTTTAGATTTGATATCATGAAGTAATAACATTAAGTATACAGCAGATTCTTCTTGTACAAGAACTAGATATTCTCGGCTCCTGAGATCATATTAAGATACAGATGATTGGATAGAGGAGCAATGACTTAAAATGCAGCTAAATACAAGCCACAAAATACAGTAAGCACAATAGCATCTAGGCTACCATATGTTAAAATGCAAACTAAACAGAGAAGATCGATCGAGTAACAGAGAAATAAATTTACCTTTGAAAAAGAGACAAGTGAAGCAACAGATCTACAGTGACACCACCTACAAAATGGGAAAAAAAGCATTAGATATGATTTTCCAAATATGAGCAAAATGATTTCACCTCTCTGTTTCTATATATGACCAAGATTGCTTCTTTCCCTCTAATACAAAAGAACCTCAATGGTTGTAGCTTATAAAATAATGTCAAATAGATGCAACAATAATAACAAGTGCTGATACACAATAGCTGACCAATAAAAGTAACAACAGATACAACTCTATCAATTCATAATAGCTGAACAAGTCAACAATTTATAGTGCCAAAGCAAAAAAACAAGAAATTTTCAATATTGTTGATCAACTATAAGCATAGATACAATTTGGTTTCTTAGACTAAAAATGGGTTGGCAGTGGCTCTTCAAATATGTTCATCTTCCCCAATCTCATTTTCAATATTGCATTCACCTAATACTTCATCAATTTCATCCTCCCGACTCAAAATTAGATCATTCACACCATCAAAGAATTGATCTAAGTCTTGCACTGGAAATGGCTCATTCTCAGGAACTTCATTCTCTCCTTCTCCCATTTCATACAAGTTTCTTGGTTTCAAGTGAACAACAGTACTCCATCCTTTATTCACCTCATCATCCATATAATATACCATTTAAGCTTGTGAAGCTTCAATATATGGTGAATGCTCTTCACGATCACCAATGTGAATCAATTGTGAAAAATTAACCGAAGAAAATTCCCATGCATCCTTTCTAAACCCTCTATCCCTAGTTGTGTCAGCCCATTTACACTTGAATAGTGTAACCCTAAATCGATAGTAGTTAAGCTCAATGATGTCTTCTAATTTGCTATAATATGGCAAATCTGCTTGCCTCAGGTTTCCAACAGCACCACTAGCAATACAAGATGTGGTCGAAGTAAAAAAAAAAAAACCACTGTTTTGCGTTTTCAACCCATGCTCTCGAGTTGTTGTCCGAAATTTGAACCCATTGATATTAAATGATGTAAACCTTCTAGCATATGGTGCTGGACTATCTGCTAAAAACTTTAGTTCATCAGACACAGTATTTGAAATGTCTGGAATAACAATCTGAAACAAGAATGTAAAATGTGTTAGTCACAAATTTAAAGTTATAAAATTCTAATACATTTGTAACCAACCTTTCGAAGAAACTAATCAATAAAGTCTTTACTAACTATCTTCTCTATCTCCGTGTTTGAAGGCTTTCGACCCTTCCACCGCCTCCGCACATAAGCTTTAAATTCACTACATGAGATTTTGATATAAATATAACAATTAACATAAGTTTTCATGTATTTAATGCATGTTTTATTTTGATTTGCCTTAAATACTCACGTAATGAAATGATTTGTGGACAATTTAGTAACACATATCGATGTGCTTGACGTTTTTCCATAGGTGACAACTCAAATGTTACAGCTCCTAGTCCTTTACCAACTGGTGGGAAAATACTAGATGAATTCGCCGAGGCTCGATCCATCAGAAAATCGTCAACACGACGTGGCCTATTAAATCTTGTCTCAATCCCTTCAATATACTGGGATCAAAAAGTAAGATCCTCTTCAGCTAGATATCCTTCAGTTATAGAGTCTTCTGGTTGTGACATGTTTCGCACATAGGATTTGAAGTGTCCCAAATACCTAAACAAAAGACCAAAAATTAGTTGATGGATACAAATTAACATCTATTCTTAATGAACAAGCTCGAATCAAGCAATAAGAAATACTGTTTACCTCTCGATAAGATACATCCACCGACACTGTTGAGGTCCCCCAAGTTTTGTTTCACTAGCTAGATGACAAGTTAAATGAACCATGATTGTAAAGAATGTAGGAGGGAATAACATTTCCAGGTGATTCATGGTGATAAAATACCGAGACTGGAGCCTGTCAAGGTCTAAGGGACTTAAGCTTTTGGCACAGAGTTGATGGAAGAACAAACTCAACTCTGTTAATACTGCAGTCACCTTGTCTGGTAAAACATTACGTATGGAAATTGGTAACAAGTGTTGCATGAGAATGTGAAAATCATGACTCTTCATTGACTTGAGCTTTTGTTGTTTCAAGTCGACACATCTTGAAATGTTGCTAGCGTATCCATCTGCCATTTTGACATTTTTTAAAGTCCGCAAAAATATGTCTTTCTTAAATCCACTTTTCTTTGAATTTAAAAGAGTGAACAAGGCTGGACGATAGCTTCCATTCTCATCTGCCCAAAGTTCTTTCCTTATACCCATTTCTCTAAGATCATTCCGAGCTTTAAGATTGTCTTTTGACTTTTCAGTATCATTGAGCAAAGTATATATCACACTCCCACACACATTCTTCTCAATGTGCATAAGGTCTAGATTATGACGCAACAAGTTAGATTCCCATTAAGGAAGATCAAAAAATATGCTTCTCTTTCTCCACTATTTCGGTCTATCTTCAGCAATAGTTTTTCCTCGAGTTCTTTACCTTTAGCATTCGACTCAGGTACTTTCCCAAAACTAGCATTGATTACCTCCATTTGTTTCAATATATCTGACCCTGATAATGCTATTGGTGGCTCCCGTTGCTCGATTTTCCCATTAAAACGGACACGCTGCAATCTAAACGATGGCCGCTTTCAAGAAAATGGCGATGACCCATGAAACACCATTTTTTTACTATGCTTCAGCCAGCAAGAGTCTGTATCAAAGTTACATGTGGGACAAGCAAACTGAGTGTGTGTGTTCCATCCAGATAAGGTTCCAAACTAGGAAAATCACTAATTGTCCACATCAAGGTTGCTCGCATTTTAAAAATTTCATTCTTTGAAGAGTCTAATGTCTGCACTCCATTGTACCACAATTCTCTCAACTCTTGGATAAGAGGTTGTAAGTACACGTCAATGTCATTGTCGGGCATTTGTTTTCCTGGAATGATCATTGAAAGAATGAATGAAGTTTGTTTCATGCACTCCCAAGGAGGACGATTGTATGGAATAAGAACCACAGGCCAAATACTATAGTTTGTTGCCATTGCTCCAAAAGGATTGAAACCGTCACTAGCTAGGCCTAGTCGTACATTCCGAAGATCTACAGCAAATTCAGGATAAAGCAAGTCAAATGCTTTCCAAGCTTGAGAATCCCTTGGATGCCTCATCAATCCATCTTGGTTACCGCAGAAGAATGCCATCTCATAGACTCAGCAGTTTTAGAGCACATGAACAATCTCTGTAGCCTTGGCTTTAGTGGAAAGTAGCACAAAATCTTTGTGGGCTGCTTCTTTTTATTGTCCTTCCACCTAGATGTCTTGTACTTTTTGCATTCTTGTAAGCCTTCGTCTTCCCCAAAATATACATGGATCTTTGTATAATTAAGACCAAGTTTATTGATGGTTTTTTTGGCCTCATAAAAAGAAACAAGAATCTTGGCATCTTCAAAGGCATCTTTTAACAATTCTAATATCATACTCATCGTTTTGTCAGTCATTCGACACAAACACTTGATATGATACAATTTGACTAGAAAGGACTATTTGGAATACTTCGCGCACCCTTCATATAATGGTTGATTGCCATCTTCTACCAGCTCATAGAACTATGCATATTCTTCATTATGCCCTTCATTAAATGTTTCTTCACTATTCATAGGCTCACAAGACACACCAGGCTCATTGACATTGTTCCCTATGAACCCAAATGCATCGTTAATCATGGTTGCTATTGGATTTTGGGGCTGCAGAGTTTCTTCTATGACGTGTATGCTCTGAAACGTTTGTGGCATAGTTGCATTTGATTCTTCACCATGCAAATACCAAACTTTATAATTTTTTGGAAAAGGCTTACAAGTCAGGTGTTCTTCAACTACATTTCTTCTTTGTCACTTGTTAAAACCACATTTCGGACACGGACACTTAATTACACGCCCATCAATAGACCCATACTCAAAAGCAAAATCCAAAAATTTTCTACGCCCATCGCGTATTCAAGTGTATTTCGTGGTTTGCTAATCCAAGATTTATCAATTGGCATGGGTAGAAAAGAAGATATAAGATAACATCACAATATCAAAATAAAAAAGCTAGTTCATAGCCACTATATGAAAATCAAAAGAATAATAATCACTTAATCACACTTTTTAACTTCTGAAGAATATGTAAACAGAAACCAAAGCGACAAATAAACAAAGAAAAGAAAACTATCACAACCAGAATTTTCTATTATTCACAAATCCGATCCAATTTTCATCACCAACAACTAAGGTCCTATACAAAAGGATTTTTTTGACTATCTTATTCTGAAACTTGACATTAGTCCCTCCGTCTAGAAGGTAGAGTTCTCTGGCCTACATATACAATGCTCAGAAGCTGGTTGATTGATTCAGTTTGATTATGCATTTTGTTAGTGGAATTAAGTGTACAATATAGTATTATTATAGCAATAAAACTATTTCCATAATCGCCGAAAAGTTCTCTACAAAATACAACTCATGAAACTTTAATCTAGCTTAATTTGCAGCTTCTCAGAAGTCAAACTAAGTTCCCAGACTGCAATACAACACCAACAAAGTAAATTTGTAAAGAACAATTATAGTATATTTTATATCAATCCTTTGTATCCGTTCCTTTATTGTTTTCAAATATACCAGAATTCCTTAATTGTTCAGAGTGAAGTAAAAATTGCTCACTCAAACTCTTATAATTATATCAAAAAAACTTTTTACCACAAAAGAAAGGAATAAAATCAGAATCCAAAACCAAATTAGCAAACAAAAAAAACCACAAATCCCCCAAAAAGTGAGAAATCAACAGCATAGCTTAGTGACTTTCCTCAAACCTACATACAAGCACAGTACATATACACATAAACTTGAAGTTCAATATATGTAAACTCAAAAGCAGACAAAATCCAGAATGAGACTCTTCAGTTGTCTTCTCTTGTGAAACTCAAAAGCAGACAAAAAAAATCCTCCTCTAAAAACCAAATCTCAGTATATAGGGGAAAAGGCCAAAATTGTCTCTATACTATCGAAAATTAGTCACGTTTATACCCGTTTTTACTTTCGGTCCAAATATAGGCCTGCCGTTAAGAAAGTAGATAAAATCGTCCCTAACCCTAACGGTTGTCCATGACTCAGCAACTAAAATGACACCGTGGACTCCATGTCACTATTTATTTTTTCTTTTGTAATAATAAATAATTAAACCCACTAAAATTAGTCTTCTTCTTCTCTAACTTTCAAGATTCAAGGCACAAAGATTTAACCAATTCTAATTTAAATAACAAGTTGCAGCTTTGAATTGTTTTAGCATTCCAATGTCAGATTCTTTGTTCTATTCAGTCCAAAACAGATGAAAAATTCCCGAAACGATTCTCACCCGGTTGATTCTTCTTTGTTTGCAAAAAAAAGATTGTTCCATCAAGATTTTACTAGTTTTGATATGTTCAAGTAGTAAAGAAATTTTTTAGCAAAAAAAGATTTTTTCTTTGGGTGGAATTTTAAAGAGAAACATGAGGTCACCGGTAAATGGGTTTTTATAGACGATTTCTTTCTTCTGGATCTAGCTCTTCTTCTTTTTGTAGAAAAGAAGTGTCACTAGCCAGTTATGACCAGTAAAGAGGAGTGAGAGATGGAAGAAAAGAAAGGTGATTTTTTGATGAGTGGCTGGTAGTATTTAAAGAGATGGTTTCTGTTGAAGCTTTTGGTGGATATTTCCGATGAGTGATTGCTGATGATTTTCTAGGTAGAGAGAAGATGGGATATTTTCTTGGTGGAAGATGGCTGGTGTTGTGGTTCAAACACTGGCTGGTAATGATGGAAATTTATGAAATAATTTTGTGGAGCAAGATAAGAACCTTGAATTTGCAGCAATGGTGGTATGTTGTTAGAGAAGGAGAAGACTAATTTTAGTGGGTTTAGTTATTTATTATTACAGATGGAAAATAAATAGTGACATGGAGTCCACCGTGTCATTTTAGTTGCTGAGTCATGGACAACCGTTAGGGTTAGGGACGATTTTGTCTACTTTCTTAACGGCGGGCCTATATTTGGACCGAAAGTAAAAACGGGTATAAACGTAACTAATTTTCGATAGTATAGGGACAATTTTGGCCCTTTTCCCCAGTATATATCCATGGCTTTTGTTCTTGACAACAGACCAAAAATGGCTTTGCTTTTCTTGATTTTAGCTTCTTTTGTGCAGCTCTCCTTTGGGGTTACTTATAAGGTTGGAGATTCAGCTAGTTGGACAACTATTGGTAATGTTGATTACAAGCTATGGGCTGCTAATAAAACCTTTCAAGTTGGTGATACAATTGGTATGTCCTTTCCTCTTCCCTTTTTCTTTCACGTTCAATCGTTAGTCTTTTGTATTATGAGGAGAAGATATCAAACTCTTGCTTAAAACTTGAAAAAAAAAAAGCTAATTACTTGATAGAATAATTAAAATATACTATAATTGTTCTTTACAAATTTACTTTGTGGGTGTTGCATTGCAGTCTGTTTCCCTTAAATGTTAACTTAGTTTCCATAATCGCCGAAAAGTTCTCTTAAATGTTTGTCACTTTTAAACTAAGCAAACTTTAACTAATATTTTATAGTTTATGCATTCAGCATAGAAGCTTTACTGGTTATTAGCTTATGAAGTGAAACATACTATTCAATCGTGAAAATCATAAAGTTACTAACAGCAAAAAGCAGAAAAATTCTAATATTTTTTCCTTATGCTTTTTTCACTTATTTAGGCTCATCTCAGACTTCAGTCACAGACCATTAAACTAGGGAAGGAAGGCCAAGGCAAATATGAAGAGTCAGAAAACAGTCATAAACGTTATCTTTAAAAAAAAAAAAAAAAAGTTGCTCCAAAGAAAGGATAAAGTTAACTATACCTATCAAATATAATTTAGTCAACCTCGATCCCAATAGCTTTACCAGCTGTTTTAGATTCCTCGGCTACCTATCAAGGCCATAAATGATGTTTAGGTTAATATTAGCAGAACAAAAACTAAAAATGTCAAAATTTAAACAAACACAAACTTAATTGAATAGAAAAGTAACAAAACTTGACATAAAAATAAAAGAAATAAGAAATAAAACTATTAGCAGAAATTGACAGCTAAACCAGTGAAATCGACGTCCGAATCAATAAAAATGACTGCCAAACGGTGAAATTGATGGCTTAAGCAGTGAATCGATAGCTAAAATCAGTGATTTAAACTGATCTTCGTCCAATACACACACATGCATGCCTAAAATCAATGAAATCAATGGCTAAATCAGCAAAATCGAAACCTAAATCAGTGAAATTCACGGCTAAAATCAGTGATTTAAACTGATCTTCGTCCAATACACACACATGCATGCCTAAAATCAATGAAATCAATGGCTAAATCAGCAAAATCGAAACCTAAATCAGTGAAATTCACGGCTAAAATCAGTGATTTAAACTGATCTTCGTCCAATACACACACATGCATGCCTAAAATCAATGAAATCAATGGCTAAATCAGCAAAATCGAAACCTAAATCAGTGAAATTCACGGCTAAAATCAGTGATTTAAACTGATATCCATCCAATACACACACGCACGCCTTAAATCAGTGAAATCAACGGTATTTTGGAAGGAATTACACGAACGACTTGAAGCGAGTATTTATCAGAAAAGGGTGATTTACCTTAAACGAGTTGAAATTTGATCTCCTTACATTATTGTAAACTCAATAATGAATACTGATTTGGGGAATCGATTAGGGCCGTCTGTTTAGTGAGAAAGAGATAGAAGGTGTATAGAGAGAGAAGGTGTACAGACGCGTCTGTTTAGAAAGAGAGAGAAGGGCTTTAAGAGTTTTGAATGAATTTACTGTATCTGAATATGTTTAGGGCTTTAAGTTTTTACGTTATTTAATTATTAAAAATTAGGGGCGGTTGTAACTGCCGTAACTGTAAATAATAAGGCCCTTTGAACTTTACGGACTAATGGCGTTGGAACATCGCCGTATTATGATATATATTGTGGTGGTTTTTATGAACCGTCGTTATTTAATTGCCACAATAATTTTGGTTTTTCGTAATGTTATCATCAGCCATCTTATTATATACTAACTCAGATCCCGCTAGAAGTTATAGATATAAAGTAACCAACCCTATAAAATTTAGCAATCTAGTAAATTCTAAAACAAAAAATATTTAAATATTATTTTCGCCTTTTAAATTTTAATAATTATTCAATAATTACAATATTATTTTCCTTCATAAGGACAACTGAAGGAAAAAATTACCTTCATTTGACGGAAATCTTCACTAAATGTACGTAGTTGAGACTGGCCTATATAAGTAGCACAACATAATAATAACACAAGAGGAATTGAGAAAAGAAAATGAAATTTTCATCTTTTCAAAGCTTTGATTTAATTTGGTAAAACTAACTTAGTAGTTCAATCTTTCCCAACTTTGTCTAACCTTTGATCTCATTGTGACACACTGCGGACGTTCGACCTTCTCCCATGGATAAGTATCTCTACTTAGACTTCGATACCTTAAATGTCTTGAAGTCCTCTATATCTAACGCCTTGAATTCCTCTTGGAATTTAACTTTTACATGCAAATACTACTTAGTGTGTGAAGAAAAAACATGATAAGGTTGTAACAGTTGTCTAAAAAAATAACAAAACAGAATAAACCATAAATGAGGTCTCTCCACCTAGTATTATCATATTCAATATCAACTATACCATTGTATAATCCTTTGAATATTCAAAATTATTTCATAATTTACTAGAATTAAAGGTTAAAATAGCAGTTCAAGCATAAATAGCAAAATGAATGTCGAATTAATAAAAAAAACAAATTTATAGCAACAAAATCCTAAAGAAAAATAAGAAAAAAAATGAAAAACCTGACTATCCACACAGATTTAATAATAGGTTGGAAATCTCAGATGAATCATTGAAAGCTAATGGTATCGTGCAATGACGAACCGATAACCGGACCGGAGAGGAGGACTAAGAACAACAAACTTCTTCGAAACACGCGCTGTGACACTAACACGATCAGAGGCGGACCCAGGATTTGAGCATGACGGGGGCACCATTGTATGCTAATTGTTAACGTTAAAATTTGGCGGGCAACTCTTTGAAAACTCAATGATTATGATGACTTATCATCCAAGTACAAATAAAAAGAAGTTCTAAAGAAATAGAAAGCATCGAACAAAGAGAGGGATTTCTTTGCAAAATGTGCTACGGAAAGGGAAGATATTGGATTTAAGACTGTTTCAAACTTTAAAATTTCGAGCTTTTTCTCAATTAAAAAAGGGGATTGTGATCAAAAGGGTGTTCAAACTTCAAAAATTATCAAAAAAAACTTATTAAACAAATCAAGATTAAAGGTGTGCTAATAGTTAAAGAACGGAAGAAAAGCCTCAAACTCTTAATTAGTTGTCATTGCCGAATCAGAATTGACGAATATCTGTTACTTTGTCAAAGTGATTGTTGAAAGAAAATTGTGGAAGAAGGATTTGTATTTTTCTACTTCTGAAGCGCAATAAATTGCAATTTGAGGCTTTTAAGTTTAAGGAAGGGATTTGAAAAAGAATAAAATTAAGTTGACTATTATTAAGTGATTCTTAACTCATTTCTTTCACTCTTTTACTTCTCCTTACAAGATTTCATCTTAGAATCTAGGGTTTTCACGGAAGAATTGAGGATTTTTGGGTATAATTTAGGAATTTGGGAATTTAGACCTCAAATTGAGGTCGAGTTCCAAAATCAATTGTATATCCGGGCTCGGGCTGAATGGTAATCGGGTTTTAGTCCGAATTTTGGTTTTGGACCTAGCGGGCCCGGGTGTTGACTTTTTCAAAAGTGACCTACATTGAATTCCTTTTTCAAAATCTAAAACATAAAAGGCGATTTTTCAAATATTTTTTATTCCCCAAATCATAATTAAGTGATTCTTAACTCATTTCTTTCACTCTTTTACTTCTCCTTACAAGATTTCATCTTAGAATCTAGGGTTTTCACGGAAGAATTGAGGATTTTTGGGTATAATTTAGGAATTTGGGAATTTAGACCTCAAATTGAGGTCGAGTTCCAAAATCAATTGTATATCCGGGCTCGGGGTGAATGGTAATCGGGTTTTAGTCCGAATTTTGGTTTTGGACCTAGCGGGCCCGGGTGTTGACTTTTTCAAAAGTGACCTACATTGAATTCCTTGTTATCGTGGGTAGTTCCTAAGGCTTAAATTGAATCGTTTGATTGGTAATTTGCTAGATTATATTGGCTCGGAGGCTTGTGTGAAAGGAAAAGTTTTGATTGTGCTTTGAGATCGGCGGTGGAATCGAGATAAGTGTTGTGGCTAACCTTAGCTTGAGGGATTACGTGTCATTGCCTTATTTGCTACTTGTTTAGTTGTTAAGTACGACGTATAGGTGTGGTGACGAGTATCTATACGCCATTGTCGGGTCATAGAATGTGAGCGAGTCTTATACTTTTGACCGTTGTGTTTCCTTATACGTATTGTTCTTGCTTAAACTAGTTATTACTCCTGTTAAACAAGTCTTATTATGTTTTTTCTGGTTTTGGATATTGGTTATGTAACGACTCGGCCGGTTGTTTTAAGAACTAACGCTCCGATCCCCTATTAACTGCTTTCCCCGTATTTGTTTCTGCTATTTTGATTTGCCGAGATGTTTGGTTTTGAGTTTGGGAGTGTTTTGAGACACTTAGTCCCTAAAAGAGAACTTAAGCTTTAGAATTTAAACCGTAGTCAGAGCAGTGTGAAGACAGCTTCGGAATGGAATTCCATCGGTTCCGTTAGCTCCATGGGGTGATTTCGGGCTTAGGGGCGTGCTCGGATTGTATTTTGGAGGTCCGTAGCTTATTTAGGCTTGAAATGTCAAAAGTTGAATTTTTTAAGTTTCCGGTTCGATAGTGAGATTTTGATATCGGGGTCGGAAAGGAATTTCGAAAGTTGGAGTAGTTCCGTAGTGCTGAATATGACGTGCTTGCAAAGTTTCAGGTCATTCGGACGAGGTTTGATAGACTTTTTGATCGAAAGCATAATTTGAAAGTTTTTGGAGTTCTTAGGCTTGAATCGAATGTTAAATTGGTATTTTGATGTTGTTTTGAGCATTCCGAAGGTTGGAACAACTTTGAATGATGTTTTAGAATTGGTTGGCATGTTTGGTTGAGGTCTCGGGGGCCTCAGGTGTGTTTCGGATGCTCAACGGACCATTTTTGGACTTGGAGAAGGATCAGATTTTTGCTGGTTTTTGTTGCAGACTTTTCTTCATCGCGATCGTGTGAGAAGGCTCGTGATCGCGAAGGCTTAGATGAGTCAGAAGGGATTTTGTTCTACGCGATCGCGGGAAAGGGAGTGCGACCGCGTAGTATTGGCAGGAGTTGAATCGCGAACGCGTGGGCTACGCCGCATTCGCGAAGAGGAAGAAGTGAGGTAGCTGAGGAATGGAAGATTTTCTCTTCACGATCGCGTGAGGTCAACCGCGATCGCGTAGAGCTGAGCAGTGCAACATCGCGATCGTGTAGGGTTATTTTGGGGGTCAGCGAAGTTGCTCTTCGCGATCATGTGGGAGTTTCCGCGATCGCGATTAAGGACACGTCTGGGCAGAACATAAAGTTCAAAATCGAGGGTTTTGAGTTCATATCACAAAATTTAATTGGTAGCTCGGTAGGAGACGAATTTTGGAGAAATTTTCGGAGAGAGTTTGCGGGTAATGATTCTTAACTCCTTTTTGCTTATAACCCATTAATCTAATTATGAATTCATCATCTAATTTCGGATTTGGGGTGAGAAATTGGGAAAAATTTTGGAAAAGTTCTTAGACCTAATTACATCAGATTTGGATAATTTTGGTATGGTTAGACTCGTGAGTGAACGAGGGTTCATAATCCGTAACTTTTATCCAATTTCGAGACGTGGGCCCGGGGGGCTTTTTGGGCAATTTTCTTAATTTCGCGTGTTAGCTTCAAATTAGTTAGTGGAACTAGTTACTTGAAGTTATATTTACATTATGCAATTGATTTGAATAGATTTGGGCCATTTGGAGTCGAGTACTCGTGGCAAGAGCGTGGTTTCAGGTTGATTTTTGAGTCGGTTCGAGGTAATTGGCTTGCCTAACCTTGTGGGGGGAAACTCCCCTTAAGATTTGGTATTGTTGATACTTGAGATGCCTTGTACGTGAGGTGACGAGTGCGTACTTGTGCTAATTGTTGAAAATTCTGTTTTCATTAAGTAACTATAATTGTGTTTCCTTTCCTGTTTATACTACTTGCAATTTAAGCCTACTATTAACTTAGGGAAGCATGTCTAATTGACTTAACTGCTTTACTTGCTCAAACTGCTTTATTTGAATTATGTGCAGCATGCTAGGTTAGAAATACTTGTTTACCTTGGTATGAAATTTGGATTGAACTGAATATTCTCCGTGTTGTTGCTGTGTATTTTTTTGGGACTACGGCACGGTATCCCGGGAGATCCCCCTGCATGTTTACTTTGGTACTTTGGATTTGTATTCCGGTAGATCCCCCTGCACAGTATATTGGAGCTACGGGACTGCACCCGATAGATTCCCCCAGTACTGGTATTTACATTTGGGACTACAGATCGGAATTCTGACAGATCCCCGCGCACTATGAGTTGGACTACGAGACGACACCCGGGAGATCCACTGTATATTTACATTTGGGGACTATATGACGGTATCCTGGGAGATCCCGGTTGTTATCTCTGTGTTGAGTTGTATTCCTCCTATGATTATTTTGTCTCTGTTATAGTTGTTGTTATTCTTATTATCCTGTGTTACTTCATACTGTTAGCATTTAATTATATTGTTGTA